GCATGCAAGAGTCACCACAGGTAGAGACCAGCTATTAGGAGGCTCCTGAGAATGTAAACTTGGAACTCGATTGTTGTCAAATTTTCTAACCCCATTGAAGTTGTTAGATTTATGTAGAAGTTCAATTAGGTTGATCGGCTTCTGTCTTTTCCCTTTCTCTGTCATCCTGTCCACCTCATTCCAGATGATTTTGAGGGTCTTTTTGGGAATTTCAGGCTCTCCTTGAAGTAGAAGAACATAACGAGTAAGGTCCAACTGGGCATCGCCACCATAATCTGATCCTTCGGTATCATCAGAAGCACCCATAACAAATATCTTCAGCTTCCTGATGTGGTGGAAGAATGAGGCAGAAACGACAAGAACAAGTTCACTTGCCCAAACCAATAGATACTGTACTCCAAGACAGCAATTCAGTAGTAGTCTTCTTACATCATGAAGAATTTTTTTCCACTTGTGGTGTCGAATTTGTAAGGGTAATGGGCTTTCTCTCAAGTCCACAAGTCTCTGAAGCCAATAACTCTCAATTTTTAACTCGATCTTGAAGCTTTTCCGGCCTATATCTGAACACTTAAACCGGGCAGCACTAAACCATCTGAATGCAGGGGCAATAATACCCAATGCCACTCCAATTGACTGAACGTATAAAATCCATTTGATTGACCACTTATAGCTAGAAAAATCCCTCTCTGCTATGTATAGTCTTGGTATCCGAATATAAGCTTCTATTAAAGTGAGAGCAACTAATACACATATCAAACCTGAAGCAGTGCAAGTCACACTACGCGCCATTACAAACTGGGGGCATCCTGTCACTGCCATCACCCAATATTTTTTGATCACTAGTCTCAATTTGTCAACTGGAAATTTTGGCCCGTTTACTTTTTCTTCATCTAAAGCTATTTTGTGCATTTCTTGGTACTTGCATTCTATATAACTTTGGGTAGTTAGAACGGTCAAAGCTGAAGAACAAAACATAACAAGTGAAATAAAGATAAAACCCGTTGCTACAATTTCTTCGTATAATACTCCAGGAAGATAAGAATACATTGCGAAAAGGTGGGCATAAACATTGCCAATGACTGTAATTATCATAATACCTAAAGCAGCTAAGTTTAGTAGCATCTCATTATCGTCCATGGTCCCCAAAGATGTCATAAAATTTGCCATCGCAATTAACATGAAAACGAGGCTACTAACCCGTGCAATGCTTTCATTCATCCCCAACGTATTGGCAGTAAAATCCATTGGTAGTTTCAATGTGACAGCTAATAGTGTCAAAGACATGGCATTGAAAGAAAAGTACTTACAAGGGAACCACAGCCTTTTACTACGAAATCCATGGAAGGCGTCAGCTGCCATTGCAAGGGAGCAGACTACAGAAGCTGCTGCAATATACATGCCGATCCATGGCATTGGGGAATCCAATTTGTTTTGCACAACTTTCATTGTATCTTTGTCACAGATATTGCTGCAGTCACTCCAGTTGTAACATCCCCTATCGCATTGAAAAGAATCCATGAACTTGTCTCCGAAATTCTTTTCTATTTCTCTCCCAAATACTTTTAAGTTAATGACTTACGGTTGATCTTATGATTCACAAACATACTAATCAGTCTGTCCTAGTCATTCACACAGAATGGTGCATAAGGAAATAAGAGTCTTGTTGACTCACTCCAGCAATAGATCTGAATCTAGGCATAACTTTTCACATGTCTGTTATTTATTTATTTTTTTTTATTTTTTTTTGTCCTTTCTGTTTGTTGGAATCTGTTTCCACCAACTCAATAAGTTAGAGAATTAATGTTGAGAAAAGTTGACTTGGTATTCGTAACACGGTTTTTGGTGTGGAAACTTGACCTATTTCTTGTTTTCTACCATGCTCTTTATGGGACTAATTTGTCCATTCTCGTACTTATTGGGACCATCCACAATGAAGCCTATTATGATTTATTTTTATAAATTTGATTTAATATTTAATTTTAGAAAGATATATTTTGTAACTTCTTAATTTTCGCAAGATAAACTTTAAAGCAATTTTTAATATACAAAATTTGAATATCTTGATCAAACTTTCTTTAAAGTTTTTGTTTAGCTTTCTTAGAGCCTTTCAATTTTGTTCTAAGAACGTTTCTTACGGTTCTCAAAAGAATAGTATTATCTAGTACTACTTGTACTATAAAATTGATCTAGCAGATATTATGTGATTAGTTCAATTAAAATTTAAAATGATGTGAGAATGAATTGTACATGTCATGTAAACAGTTCGTGGAAGGAATAATTTCAATTTTTTGGGTCATTAAACTTTCATTGAGATTTCAATTAAGTCACTCAAC